ACACAAAAGTACGATAGTGAGAGATATAAAATAATGAAAAAAACGGATTATATTTTTTTTAAAACAAATTATATTTGAAAAATTTGAATTTGTGTTAATAATATTTTAGGAAATTAAATGTGAGAGATTTTGCTTTATAGGTCATATTATTAATACACAATTCATTATTATTTTTTTATTGTTTAGTTTTTTCTATTTCTGCATTTTGACGGTTCTTATTTAAAAACTTTTGAATTTTATCTTAGGTGCCATGAACTTGATATCTCATATATTATATAATAATCTGTATGTCTGTATGTGTAATATATAATTTATAATTGTTTACTAATGCGATTCAGCAATTGTTTTGATGGAATCGCTTATTCAAAAGCTTTTTGGCCGAAGTGGAAAAGTTTTTCAATATATAAATATAATATAACTTAAATCACACTACTGAGCATGTTTTTGTTTTATTTGTTTATTTATTTTTCTTCATCTTCGACTTTCCTTAATGTTATTTCAGTCAGTTTGTATTGCATATGCGCACGTTGGTCAATTCACTTCAATTTGATTTTTATATGGCTGGACACCTGCACCGCGCCACAGAAATATGGTCAGTTCCAAGAAACGAAAGAAAATGTTGAATTTCAGCTCTGTTGCCAATTTCTTCCCGTACCTCTCATACCCAGACATTTTTATTGGTCTGCCATCACAACTGATGCTTCAATAAATGTGTATAGGGAAAAAAATAAATGAAAAAAAAATAAAAATAAATAAATAAATGAGAAGAATTCTTTTGACTGTCCAGTCAAGAGCTCCTTGGCTATATACCACATCTCACACAACTCTTCGCTGCTTAACACAAGTGAAATCAAAAGTTGAAAAGTTTGTTGTTTTGACTTCTGCTGCGTCCATACTGTCTGTTTGCTGATTTTTTCCTTTGCAAAATATACACGTATATATCTGACTTTTTCTACTCTGGCGTTTTATTTGTTGCTCCTTTTTATTTGTCTGTTGCTCTCTTGTCGTTATTATAGTTGTTCAACTGGCCCTCAGACAGACATTATTGTAATTGATTTTTCTGGTGTAAAAATTTAATCATCGCAGAAAACATGTACGATTATATTGAAAGGAGCGTGTACTGGGCGGTCAGATAGGCACACATCTATATACATATGTACCGAAAATATTCACTCTCACACGCATTAACATAAAATACATACATTTTATTGAAGGAAATATATTCTTAAATAATATGCCATCAAAATGTTATCAAAATAAATGAAAGAAAAATATCAAGTCTGTTCATTGTTCAAATAAACTTATGTAGCATAATTTCTGTTATTAAGTTTTCCTTTCACTTAATGCCCCTTGTAGCCCTCTGCTTTACTGCAATCTTTTTTAAATTTTTTGAATTCGCGACTTCAAAACGTACTTTAAGCTAAGAAAAAACATTAATAGTAGTACAATCTCACTCTTTGGGGGTATCTTTTCGTGACTAATCATGAATTTGAGCGTTGGTTTAAGTAATTTCACTAATTTTAAGGTATGCGTCCTTGCTAAATAAATTCCTGAATGTAGGCAACGTTGTTTCGGCTAACAAACTACTCTTACATTTCGCTGAAAAAACATTGCCTACATTTTGGCGCATTTATAAATGAATTAAAAAAATTAAATAGAAACCACAAAATATATTTTCAATATTAAAATTATTATTTTAAGTTTAGTAAACTGCTCGAAGGTCATGAGCAACTTGAGATCAAAAATAGTATCACTAATTCAACGTTATTATTTAAAATACTTTGACTTTAATACCCATAACTTTGTTCATCAAGTCGTCATTAAAGAGTTCTCTACGTTATATTTAAATTCAGCAAATTGTTAAACATATTCAAATCTCTGATTTTTAGTTTAAAACTTTCTTTGCGAAACTTTTTTTTTTGACCCAACAATTAATCAAATCGCAGTTGACATTTGTTAGACCACTGCTATGCCACACACACACACTCGCTCTTCCGTCTTTCATATTGGATATCCGCCAACAGAGTCAAATGCGGAATCGTTAATTAATGTCAGCCGAAAGTTATACTTTCTGTTCAATCTTTCAAAGCTTTGGGGCAAGTAATTTTGTGTAATTTTATGGCGTGGAGAGAAATTGGGGTGAATGAAATTGGATATTTTTTCCATGCTGCTACAAACATACACACCCGTATATTATATCATATAAGTATATTAGTAAATGTACATATATATGTATACCGGCTAAATTATATAATTAGAAAGACGTTGACTTTGCTGACGACAACAACAATTTGAACTTTTTTGGCGAACTTTAGACATTTTCGCAATTAACGTAATTGGACGCAACAAATGCGCTACCCAAGTGAGCAGAAAGACGAAGGAAGACGTAAATTTTGGTTGTAGAAATGAATGTGCAATGATAATAGACATACATAAAGACGCATAAATGTATGTACGAGTATGTTAAAATGTTGAGTTAAATATAGTTACAGCAAATCACAAGGCGCACATAACATTTAATTGCCGCAAAAGTTAAGCTTCGAAGTTATACACTTAAGTACCACATATACTCGTACATATGTACATATGTATGTAATCTTACATAAATTCGCAAAGTTTTCACCCAAAATTATCATCATCAGCCACATGAGATTCCTAATTGGTGTACATTAAAGTTGTAAATATTGTATCTCAAGAGCTCTTTGGCCGCAATGTATTTGCCGTAATCTGGCGGTTAAGTTGCATTATTAAATATTGACTCTTTAGGATTAACTCATTTAACTTACAAGGCTACTGTATAAGTAGAAATGTGTTTTCAATTAAATATTGTACGGATTTGTCTGCTTAAAAGGCTTACATGTATGATGCCTCGAAAGATTTAATTTGTTGCCTAATTGTAGGCAACGTTTTGCGTTAAGTATATTACTGAAAAAACTTTGCCTACATTTAGGTTGCCTAGACAAATAAGCAATTTTCAAACAGAAGGTTTTTCTCTGATATTTGAGAAAATTATTAAGAGAGATTTAAAATATTCTGTTAAACTTATTATTACTGTTATCGTAGCAGAAGCGATTTTTAGTCGAGTTCCTACCACAATTTCAGAAGGCAAATGTTCTTCTAATAAATAAAGAAACAGCTAACATTCAGGGTAGATTGTGTTAAGCCTTTATTTCATGTCAGAAATACACTCGGCGGGTACTGAAATTCCCTGCAAATCTCAATCTCTTGGTAGACTCGAGCGTCAAGCATTGCTAGTCGAAGGAAACGAAGGCTAATTTAAAACAAATTGTAATCATTTATCCTAATTGGTTAAACGTCAGATGCGTCTCCTTTAATTTTATCTTTCATGTGTAAGTCCTTCCATGCTAACCAGAGACACCAAGTTAAGCCACCTAACATTTTCAATAGAGTGTGGTCTTTATCTTCCTCTGCTTCTACGAGCGGGTACTGCGTCGAATGAATCTAAAATAATAAAATAAATAACTAGTCTGGGGAAGTTAAAGGTAACGACGTGGTTATATAGACCTGTCGCTGTCAATTTCATCAGCCGGAATTGAATATCTGATCAATGGTAGAGCTGCTAGATTTGAGCCCATACTGATAAGTCCCGCTCATTATGCTCAAGGTGGGTCTTAGCTTTTAATACAAGACGTAAGGCAGAGGCCTATGAACGATATTGCCTAGGGTAATATCGCTTTAGGCTAGGTTTGGTTTTGGCGGTTACCGACCTAACATAAAGAATTCACTTAAGTCTGACTAAAATTTATTGTGATGCCACCAGAACTTGATCATCACTCTTTATTAGCCAGCCATTGAGATACTCTAAGGAAGCTCATTAGATTCCAGACTTTGACGTCGGCTACATTCGATAGATCATCCACTAATAGGGTCCCAAAATGCCGAGACCCAGCCTATCTAAAGTAGAACGGTCACATAAGAGATGGGTGATTGTTTTCTCCTCCTTATGATTCTTGCAACTTCTGCAGCACTTTCTATAGAGAGCCCCTAGTCTTTCTGCGTATCGTCCAATCAGAGAGTGGGTTGCTAGAACTCATTTCACTTTTCAAGGAAGCAGTTTGCAAGTAGCGAAGGCATACCACTGCGATCTTTATCGAGAATATAGTTTTCCTCGATGTCCCCGTGGGAGACAGTGTGTTATGTTTGGTCATCTCCTGTAGGGCGATTTGCTTTGAAGCCTCCATGATAGCAGATATCTCCGACTGGAAAATATTGAAATTGTAGTGCGCGCATTAAGACAATCCGAAAAGATATGGGAAGATGACAAGCTAAATGTACTCTTTGTGCAGCCACCTGACATTAATCGACGGTTGGATAGTGAAAACAGTTGATCACATCAACATTGCGATACTAAATTGGGCCGGCAAAGGGCTGAGTGCCTTGGTACTTCTACATCGATAGCTTCTCCTACCTACCTACCGTTATTATGAACATTAGCTAAGATGATCATGCTATCGTCAGAAGACCGCATAAATCTACCCAATAAAGGTAGCGGTCTGAAAGACACACACAAAACCAATTTTCCAACATCTTACAATTAAAGGGTTGGGCTGAAAGTCCTAGTCTCTCCCTCAGCATAGACATGACGTTGAATATGAAATACCAATGACTCAGTTGTCTTTTCACCGTCCATGCGTACATATCAGAAGACGATTTAAATGCGCCCAATATATGCAGCTAACAAAACAGTCTTTCCTACCTCAACCTCTTATCTCCCACACTGTCTAGCGCCTTTGACTGCGGCATGCCAGGCATTTCTTAATCATCGCTTATGCAATTTATTTACGTTTAATCCTTCATTTCCCCAAACGCACAGGGCATTTTTCCGATCTTCCTAAACACACACCCACACACACACATATACTTACTCCTACATTCAATTTATTTCAACATATTTTAACTCGAATAATTTATTCTTTTTATATTTCTTCAATTTCTTATTATTCCCTTTTTCTTCTTCTTTTTCTCATGTTTCCTTGCAGTGCTGCGCGACGAATTCCGTCTGGAACCGCAAAATACACGCATAGCACAGGGTGACACAGCACTATTGGAATGTGCCGCACCACGTGGCATACCCGAACCGACGGTATCGTGGAAGAAGGGTGGCCAGAAATTGGATTTGGATAGCACGAAGCGTATGCGAATTGTCGACGGTGGCAATTTGGCCATACAGGATGCACGTCAAAGTGACGAGGGTCAATATCAATGCATTGCCAAGAATCCTGTGGGTGTACGAGAATCTGTGTTGGCCACGTTGAAGGTGCATGGTGAGTTAAAGGCAAATAAAACGAAAAGTGGTTCGAAAAAAAATTGGATAAAGAGAGCGCAATAAATTTCTTGCAATTTCTACGCACACACACACATACTCAAGAGGTGATACATAAGTTCTCGGCAGGAAAATTTTGAATTACTGACTGGAGTATAATCATTTTAGACTTCTACACTAATTAGCACATCCTCCTTCTTATTCCCATATTAGCAAATGATATTTGCACATGGCGATGTTCACGAACTGCCAATTATCCTTTTATGCTACAGCTTCACACTAGTTAAATACTAGTACTTTTCACAAGTTGAATTTCTATTAGCTCACCTCAAATAAAAATTAATTCTCAAGCAGCGAAACTCTAACCGTGAATCTCGAGCAAGACAGTCATAAGCACTTACACCTCGGCTGTAGTACAACGAGTAGCTACACACAGCGAACTTCAACGAAGTATTAAAGAAAATTTAACAGATCCGTGGTGTTCTAGAATTCACCATAACTTTGAATTTGCGGTGGAAATCATTATTACACTAGTAACTGGTGAACCGTACTAGTATTTAACTAGAAATTTGGACGCAGCAGCCGAGTGGTTAGCATTGCGTACTGCCATTCGGTAGGTCTCGGTTCCAATCCTGGTGCGATGAACATCCAAAAGATGCAGAAAATTAGTTTAAATTAAGACTTAAGTTAAATTTTCTTTTTGCGGTCGACCTTCAGCAGGGAATATCAACCCCTCCAAGCGTATTTATGACAATAAATAAAAGCTCCTCATAAAAACCCATCAGCCGTTTGGAGGCGGCTTGGTATAAACAGTAGGTCCTACCATTTGTTGAAAAAACATGAGGACCTAAAACCACAAATTGGTTTAAAAGCTCGGCCCGAAATCGCTTCAGCGGTTTCAAAACGCCAATTATGTATACCTAGAATTCTTACTTCTAGCCTGGCTTTTCCCTGCTGGGTTACCAAATACGAGTGGATGTGTGCGTTTCGGCATTCAAACACAGCACTTGCACGTAACTCGAAGCGTCAGTCCGTGTTCTCGCTCCGCTTTGCTGGCAATTTGCACAGCTGATTGGCAACAAAATTGACTTGGCAACTGACAACTGGCAGCCGCACTGACTTACCAGTTAGCTTAACCAATGTTTGATGTCTATGATTGTATGTATATGTGTGAGTAAGTGTAAATTCATCTTTAGGCCAAAAACATGAGCCGGGAATGATTAAATTATAGATTTATGGCAATGTTGCTCTAGTTTAGACACCAATTGCTTTTCCCACAATAGCTATTTGCTTTGAATGTTTTTTTCTTTTTACTTTAATACTCCGATTTTACCATTTCGATTTGTATTCATGACCTCTTCGTTGTGCTCACTTATATTTTATTGCTTATTTGTATGTTACTTTTTTCTTTATCCTTGCTTTCTGTGAAACAGTGAAACCATTCATCATACGTGGCCCACATGATCAAACTGTTTTGGAGGGCTCATCGGTGACGTTTCCTTGTCGTGTTGGCGGTGATCCAATGCCAGATGTTTTATGGTTGCGCACAGCATCCGGCGGAAATATGCCATTGGGTAAGTGGTGCACGTGATAGTAAAATATAAATATGAATTTTTTTAGTTTTTAAGTTAGTAAGGTTAAAGAAAGCTTGAAGTTTAGTACACATTTATTTATGTTCTATGCCTACACGTTTAATAGCTTGGGTTAATTACCTATGAACCAGCTAAAATCAAAGGAGGGTCGGTTTTGAATTTCGCTCACCACAAAATGAGCAACTTTTTCCAAATTTAAATTCTCGGTCTAGTGAGTGAGTAAGGGCAAAATGATCTCTCTAAATAGTTTAACATAGTAGAAAAAAATATTTAACTCTTTACCAACAACTATTGCTGAACAAAAATATTTTTTTCATTCATGGATTCGGTCCCAATAGTCGTAAAAAATAAGAGAAAAAAATGACGACGAAAAAGGGGGCAAATCTTTGCGAAGGCCTAAAAATTTATAAGAGCAAAGTTGCAATAACTTCATGTTGTTGTTGTTGTTGTAGCCGCAGAATTATTCGCCAAAGTTCTTTTTGGGGAATATTGCGGAAGTGACAGTCCTTGGCCGGATAGAAATCCGGGTCGTTCCGGTATAAAGACCCGACTGCCGCGGGAACTATTGAATTTTAGTAGCCTCTTACGACAGGCATGCCCTACCGCGGGTAAATTCTTGAACCCCTAACCCGCAGGGGTAGCAATAACTTCATGCTATGGCATGGAGAATTAGCTCTAAAAGCAGATGGGATACTCAGAAATCTTTACATGACCCACTTCATGGTTCACTACTTTTTCAAGGGAAGAAACGCAGTAAGTTCAATTTAAATTTATTATCATTCAAAAGAACATTCTTTGGCATTTATTTTTTGAAGATTATCTCTTCCAAACCTTCGGCGTAACTTCGTTTCAGATCCATCCGTCCATTCGTTGTGTACACTTTTCATTAACTCTTTAGACTTCACATATCCCTACAGGAAAGTGTCTAAGGATGTGTTATTATATGGGTTTGTTGGCCAATAAACCCGATCAAAAGATAAAATTATCTGCTCACCGAAGTGTTCTCTCAATAAATCCACTGGTTGTTGGGATGTGTGTGAAGAGGCGCCGTCTTGCTGAAACCAAATGTCGCCGAGATCCCGAGCTTCAATATTATCTAACTGGCGCTCTCTAATCGCCGAAGTGATTTTCGGCCAATATCCACGGAGAACATTTTCAAAATGAAGATGCCTCGGTTTTGATTAGAAAACCATTATTAAAAATTATTTTTCGACTCTTAATCATTGCCTTCTGCTTGAGATAAGTGTCTGGTCTTCATCCACCTTAAACTAACTAAAAGAGAGATAGCTTTTACGGCAAGAGGCACACACTAGCCTTAGCCAGAGACAAGTACAATTCCCATATCCTCTGCTCTATTGCAGCTCAGTTAGGCTAGAAGATCTTCCATTGCTCTAACAAAGTTTCACATCCAGCACTCAGTATTTTGGGAGTAAATATTATAGTTTTTTCAATCATTCAGGACCTATAAGTTTTATAATTGTTTTGATACGATTCATTTAAGTATGATCTCTTGTTCCAGTCCAGATCGTTCTTCGATCAGTTTTTCAATTATTTAAAAAGAAAAAGGCAGAAATGCGCAAAAGCAAATAGCTTGAAGAGCTGTAAAGCGTAGGTCGAGATTTCGAGAACGATCAAAATCGAAGCATACTCATGTAGGTTATATCTCGAGAGTTTTGAAAGGAATATCCCTAAAGCATCTCAAATTGAAGTAAGAGTGGTACATCAACTGCGTTGGAAATTGGTAGCCTGAAGAACAACAGAGCACGTGTCTGCAATGGCTTATCACCTTAGCTTTTCATATTTGCCTTAATATTGCATATACAGTCTTATCCAGTGTACAGTGTCGAAGGGTTGATGTCAATGAACTGATTGGTCCTTAGCTAGGCCACACACTGCCCCTTTGTTGGTTTCAAGGCGACCTTCGTTGAGTCACGTCGGCCAGCGATGACATCAAAAGGAGCTACCTCAAAACCGTTAAAAATTATACGGTTGTGTAAACAACACCAGCAGCTCCAACGATATGGGATAGGACCTCTCCTATCCGTTTGATACTAAACAAAGTTTCAGTCAAAGTAAGACCTAATCATGGAGCTTCTCTGATTTAATTTGGGAGAAAATAACTTAAGAGCCGAGTTTCTTCAGTAATAGTCGCGCGAAATCAGTGGAATGGCAAAAAGAGGGTAGAGATCCATTTAAATGTTTAACAGCTTTTAAATGAGAGTTCGGCAGATTTTTCAATCTAAGTAACGTGCAACAAGGGAAGGGTTTTGTCACCCTTACGGCAGCCAACAATAGTGAAAAACATAATTTGGTAAGCGTTTGAAGTTCACTTCTTCTGGTACTAGTTGGTTTGTCTTCGTTTTTAGAGCTGGCGTAAGGTTCTTTTAACGCGGAAAACATCTCCAGAGCCGCAACAAAATACTCAAAGTGCTAGCCGGCAGCACATGGGGTGAAGACAAAGAAACTTTGCTGGCTACTTATAAAGCAATTGGCCGGCCGGTCGTAAACTATGTTGCACTGATCTGGGCGCCGGGAAGGACCGAGACTGCTACCGCAGGGAGCACCCCAGTATGCACCTAATAGAAGCTGAACCTCCACCTAGGCACATCATAAAGGCAGTAGTAGACCTAAAGGACACAATCCAGCAACATGTACAACAACCGCTGGACAGGACGGCGTACCGACAAGCACTGAACGATTTTCATCAGGAGTCAGTAAACAACTTCACGAGCGCGAGCTGCCTCGAGAGACCCGCGTGACCCTGACACAACTCAGGTCTGGATATTGTAGCAGGTTAAACTCCTACTTATCCAGACTAGACCCCAGCATACCCAACGTATGCCCTGCATGTGGAGAGTATCTGCACGACACTAACCTCCTCTTCACATGCCCTCTCAAACCAACTCATCTAACCCCCCTCTCCCTTTTGTCCAATCCCGTCCAAACAGCTCGTTTCCTGGGCCTCCCACTAGATGACTTCGGCGACTTTGGCTGATCAGACCTGTGCCTAAGCGGAATTAGCGAACCGCTACAACAACAACAACAACAACAACCGAGAGTGAATTATGAAACAATCGGTCAACCACCCCTGACCTAATCAATTTGAAATCCATCTAGGTTCCGACAATCGCTTGCCATAAACATTTTTTATAAAAAACCGAGACTTCTTTCAACTTTTAGCTTTTAGCTTTTCTCTTGGTTTTTCTACCAAAGTATTTTTAGTAAACATTTTGTATTACTTGGTTCTTCCCACAGATCGCGTTAGCGTACTGGAAGATCGCAGTTTGCGACTGGAGCGTGTGACAATCGCTGACGAGGGCGAATATAGCTGTGAAGCAGACAATGTCGTTGGAGCGATCTCTGCGATGGGCACCTTGACCGTTTTTGGTAAGTAAAATCATGGTATTTAGTACTTTTTGTGAAATAATTTAAAGCTAGAAAAATAGTTAGTGAACCTATGCACACATATTATATGCTAATTCGTACGTAATTATTTTTCCCACACTCTCGCAAATCCAACGCTGCACTTTCCAATGCGACTTTGTACCTTCTTGTGTGTGTGCCCATCATGCAGCACCTCCCAAATTCATACAGCGTCCAATAAGCAAATCCATCGAACTGGGTGCTGACACTTCGTTCGAGTGTCGAGCGAGTGGCAATCCACGCCCTACACTCTTCTGGACTATTAAAAACAATCGCACAATTATATTTCCCGGTGCGCCGCCACTAGATCGATTTCAGAGCATCAACACCGAGGAGGGTCACTCAATATTGACGCTAACGAATTTCCAACGCACCGACCGCGATTTGATTGTGGTTTGTAATGCGATGAATGAGGTTGCAACAATAACGGCACGCGCGCAACTAACGTTAGACTCCCAAGAGGATCGCCCACCGCCCATAATAATTGCAGGACCAGTTAATCAGACATTGCCGGTGAAATCACTGGCGACGCTACAATGTAAAGCCATCGGTTTGCCAAATCCCACTATCTCGTGGTATCGCGATGGCATACCTGTGCATCCGAATGCCAAGGTGAACATTACAGCAGCCGGCGATTTGATAATTTCCGATTTGGACCGCAAAGAAGATCAGGGTTTGTACACGTGTGTAGCGAGCAGTCGCACCGGCAAGTCAACATGGAGTGGTTACCTGCGCATCGAAGTGCCAACCAATCCGAATATAAAATTCTATCGCGCCCCCGAACAGACCAAGTGTCCCAATGCGCCCGGCCAACCCACTGTACTGAATGCATCCGCCAATGCGCTCACTATCGTCTGGGCGACTAGCGACAAAGCGGGCGCCTCACCACTACTCGGCTACACGGTTGAGATGTATTCGACGAATAAGAGTAAGACGTGGATACCGATAGCGTCACGCTTGAGTGAACCCATTTTCACGGTTGAAGGCCTTAGCGGCGGTGCAGCGTACATGTTTATTGTGCGCGCTGAGAATGCACATGGCTTCTCACCGCCCAGTCCCATTTCGGAGCCAATTACAGCTGGTAAATTAGTTGGTGCCGGCGGCAGGAGTGGCGCGGGTGGTGGCGGCAGTGGGGGCATCAATGTAGGTGGCAGCGTAGGCGGTGCGCCCACTTCGGAGCTGTTACTCAATGAAGCGGAAGCTGTGTTGCAGACAAATGACATAGTCGAGCTGCTCGAGGCTAATGCTACCGACTCGACGACCGTCCGATTGGCTTGGGACATTGACAGCGGTCAGTACATTGAGGGTTTCTACATCTATGCACGTGAGCTGCACTCGGCTGAATACAAAATGATGACCATATTGAATGCGGGCAGCGGTGCGACGGCGTGCACGGTGAATGGGCTGGAGAAGGCGAGCGTATATGAGTTTTTTCTTGTGCCATTTTTCAAGAGCGTCGTAGGCAAACCGTCCAATTCGAAGCGAGTGCGCACCATGGAAGATGGTAAGTGGCAAAAAAGGAGAACACAAAGAAGAGTGGGGGAACTATTGTGTGTATTTTTGAATGTATGGCAATGTAGTTAGCACGAATATATATACATATGTGTGTGTGCGTGTGTGTGTCTATGAACTGAAGTAGACGTCAGGGACTTTTGTTCACTTTTGGGTTTTATGTACTTGATACTTGATTAGGTTTTACGTTTTACATTCACATCCCACAAAACAATGCACGTAAAAGAAAATCAACAGAATACACCACACACCACAATACATTGACGAAAATCCTCACATCACAAACCCAAGCTCTAAATGCTCCCCATTGTAGGCTGTGATTGTCTTTTGGTCATAGCCCAGCTTTAGTTGAGTGATTTATAGCCAGCAATGACATCGGCTCTGCACGGCAATTTTCATTTAAAATCGCCAAACACTTAGCCCTCCGACCAGCGGTTGACCCGGTAGGAAAATAATTAAAGACCACGCTCAGAGGCATGCGAATAAAGTCCACTTAGCAGATGTGTTATTGGAACAATAAAGCCCCAGAAGCTCAGAAGACTATAAGTACGGTCCCTCTAAATTATGTGCCCCTCTTTTCGGTGCAAGTTTGGATAAATTACATCTCGGTTAGACTAAGGTTGTTGCTCTTTTTTAATAAAATCCCTCTGTAGCAGTTTAATTTGATGGAAGTATTGGCTTCTGAAGTTGTGGCTGGCGTCAAACTAGTACACATCCTAGACATTTGAAGCTCTGATTTACACGTCAAACCTTTCCTTCAGCACAAATGCCATTGCCCAAAGCTCCACTGCATTAATTCCATAAAAGAGAGTTATGATCACAGGGAGACCCTCAAGTTTATATGAAGTTCTACCTAAAACTTGAGGGTCGCCCAACCTCATCGTCATCATCATTACATGGTTATCGAAAGACGAGCTCCGGGACCCTGACTTAAAACTCTTTTTATAGCATTCCTAGGAAGAAATATAAGCCACAACCAAAGCCTCTAAAGTGGGTTTCTTGTCATTGTTTCTTGTTTGTTAAAAATATTTTATCATGATGGACGTGTGGTTTTTAGGATCTTCACATCGGTCTTTTCCTATACAATTAAGCTTTAGAACGCTTACCAAACACTATACTTAGCTACGAGCTTTTTAGCTGTGAAGTACCCGTTTTTCTGAGCTTACAAGAGGGAGTTTAACTTCCCTGGATGCGGATGACGAGCTGAGTTTAAAATTAGGCTTCATAGTTCAGATAACGCTCCAACAAAGGAAAGAAAAGAAGACATAAAGAGTCGTCAGAGAGAAAAAAAGTGAAGGGAGCTCCTTTTGCACCTAACTTACAGAGCCAGAGACACGCGAGCCCGTGCCAAACTTTTATTGTTTCTGAGGGTCCCTCTGCCCGATGAATTATTGATTAACGCGAGCGAATGTCATAATCGCTCAGCACTTCTTCTGAAAGGTGCACTTAAAGCGCTCAGAGATTATTAAGACTCATTGGCCGACTTTTTTCAAGAACCAACTCAGAATACTTTGGGTTGTCGGTTCAGATTCCGGATATTACAAAAAAAAGTACATTATTTTTGAAATTTTCTCATATTTTCTTACACATTCACATACTGAGTGATGCTTCTTAAAAGTTTCAAGTTTAATTGCTTATAAAAAATTAATAACTAAATAAGAAGAAGAATGTTTATTTATTCAAATAAAATATAAAGTCTTTAAAGAAAATAAATATTTTTTGTGTTTTTTTCTTTCCCTTATTTCACATAAACTATTTCCTCTTGGGTTATGGATATAATTTAAACAACAAACCAATGTACCCAAACACCGCACACCTACAACAACAACAAAAACTACAACACATCACAAGTACACGCTTTTGTAGACTTTTGCACCGAATTAGATTGCTGCCACTTAACATGGGTCACACTGAGCGACCAGACCAACTACCAAACACACATGTATTGTACATATATACTACAAACACATATACTTATATATGTACATACAAACTTACAAATATCGAAATTCTATTAAAGCGTCAATTTCATTTACAGTACCCGAATCACCGCCACATGCCATGGAGGCCATACAATTCAATCGGACATCGGTATTTCTCAAATGGCAGCCGCCTTACCCGAATAAGACACGAAATGGTGCGTATATAAATGCAAAATCAAATTTATAGGCCTAGAGTAATGTACAAAAATATACATAAATTTTTTGGGGGAAAAAAACTTTGGAAAAGGAAATGTGCTTCCACTCTTAGTAAAATATCCTTGCTTACTTCCCTGAGAAACTGACCTCTAACTGCGCTTTGAACAGAGCACAATTTTCATTTTTCACTCTTGTTAAATAATACGATTTCGGTTTTCTTTTTTAACGCACTATATTTTCACTTCTCTGTTTTTTTTTTATCTTCCTTTTGTTTGTCTTTTCATGTTCCTCCTAGGCGTTCTAACCAACTACAATGTGCTGGTGAAGGGCTTGGACTCACACAATACAACACGTATTTTCAAAAATATGACCATCGATGCCGGCTCACCGACTCTGCTGCTGGCCAATCTCAGTACTGGAGTTACATATTACATTTCCGTTGCGGCCGCCACGAAAGTGGGTGTGGGTCCATTTAGTAAACCGGCCGTATTGCGTATGGATCCACGCACACAGTCGCTCGACACGGGCTACACGAGGTGAGTTGAACGCAATGAGAGACCTATCATATATATATATATACCAACAATCCTATATATAATATAGTAATTGCACATTAGGCCACGCTCGTTTCAGTAACAAGTTTCAAAATTAAAAACCACTAAAAAAAGTAAATTAAATAAAAAAACAGAAACGAAATAAATAAATTAAAATTAAAAAGATAAAATAAAATAAAATTAAACATTTAAAACCAAATAAAATACAACAAAATAAAATAAAACATAACAAAATAAAATAAAACATAATCAAATGAAATAAAAAAAAATAAATAAACTAAATAAAAATAAAATGAAATAAAATAAAATAATATAAATTAAAATAAAATAAAATTAATTTAAAAAAAATTAGACTAAATAAAATGAAATAAAAATAATAAAATAAAATAAAAAAGTAATTAAAATCAAAACAATAAAACAGATAAAAATACAGATATTAAATAAAATAAAAAATAATATGAAATAAAAAAATTCAAATTAATAAAATGTAATAAGAATAATAAAATAAAAGGAAGCAAAATTAAAAAAATAAAATCAAATAAAACAAAATGAAGGAAAACAAAATAAAATGAAATAAATTAAAAAAATAAACTATAATAAAAGAAGTAAAAATAATAATATTAAATAAAATAAAATACTGAAATAAAATCCAAACAAAAAAATAAGTATAAATAAAGATATTAAATAAAAAAAATAAAAATTATAAAAAAACTATGTAAACGTAAATCAAAATATTAAAATAAAATAAATTAAAATTAAGCATTTAAAACAAAATAAAATACAGCAAAAGGAAATGAAATAAAAAAAAAAAAACAAAAAACTAATTTAAAAAAATATAAAAATAAACTAAATCAAAATAAAATGAAATAAAATAAAATAATATAAATTTAAAAAAAAATAATTAAAAAAATTAAACTATATAAAAAAAAATATATTTAATAAAATAAAGTAAATAAAATAAATTAAAATATACTTGAATTAAATAATATAAAATAACGTATAATAAAATAAAATAAAATAAACTAAAAAAAAAATTAAATAAACGAAAAAATTAAATAGATTAAAGATATAAAATAAAATAAAAAATAAAAATAAATTGAAGTAAATTTAATTGAAATAATATAAGTTAAAAATAAATAAATTAAAATTAAGAAAAATAAAATAAAAAGAGATAAAATAATTGAAAAAAGGAAATAAAATAATATAAAGTAAATTAAATAAAATAAAATAAATAAAAATAAACTATAAAAAAAGAAATAAATGGATACAAAAATATAGAATAGAAAAATAAAATGTAAATGTATTATATACTTATATATGCTTAGTATAAAACATTAAAATAAAATGAAAAGAAATAAATTGAATAGAAATAGGTTTAATAGAGAAAAATAAAAATATGTAAATAATTTAAATTAACTAAATAAAGTTAGTGCAAATAAAATAAATAAATAAGAATTGGCCGTTGTACTAATTGCTCGAGCATGGCTAATGTTTAGCTTTGCGCATATACGCATTGAAAAACAAGCGTCAACAGCATCGGAATGTTTATGCGTACAGGATTTTTTTTTTACCTACCATGCTGTTGTTGTAACCGTTGTTTTTACTATTCTGTTGTTGTTGTTGTTGTTGTTGTTGTTGTTGTTGTTGTAGCTCCCAATTACGCTCATATGTGCTATTATTTGTTGTTTAAATGGCCACCAACTAGCCAATGGACAAACCAACCCAGACCCGGTGCGACAGAAGTACCAACGACAGTCAGCAAATCAACGCAATCAGAATACAATAACAACAAAACCAACGCACGTATACATATACAACACAACCGAAGGGCATAAAACATCAACGCATGCAACAACGACAACACATAAAGTAATAGTACGCACAGGAGCAGCAGCATACATCGGCTCATACTCACATGTGTAGCATTCATAAATCGACGGCAACATTTTCACTCGTTTCCTGTGCAAATTTGCTGCTGATTAAAGTGAAAATACAACTACGAGTTCCCTAGTTGATGTTGTGGTTGTCGTTGTTGTTGTTGTTGTCGGCTATTGCTTACTTTCGCCTGTTGGTTATTAGTTTTGGTCTGTTTATGAAACCGTTTTGCTCGTTGTCGCTTGTTTTCATTCATTCGGCCGCTCATTCATTCCCTCATTCATTTCTATACAAATGCACATACATACGTACACACATATGCAATTTTCCACTTTCTCATTTACTATGCATTATTTGTTTGTCTAACCACCGTTGTCTCTCTTACCTCTTATATAGATATCCCATAAATCGCGACATTGCTGATGATTTCCTAACGCAGACTTGGTTCATCATTTTGCTGGGTTCGATTATAGCGCTAATTGTCTTTCTGTTCGGCGCTTTGGTACTCTTCAAACGTTATCAATTCATTAAGCAAACATCGTTGGGCAGTTTACATGGTAAGTAACAAACAAATATACCTGAAATATATGTACATACATATACATCTGTAAGTAGAAGCCAACACAGTAAGGTGGAATACATATAAGCGACTACTGTGAGAATAACAGAATACTATTACCGTTCTACATAAATTTTAAAAATTTCATCAAAAAAATCAAATGAGGCTTCAGTTTTAAGCAGATTTCTAAATTACTTTTATCAAAAGTGTCTTCATTGAATTACCAGGCGTGCCAATAGAGGCACCACGCGGGGATAAGTTCTCTCCCCCCTTCTTTGATGTCTCACAGTCAACACGCTGATACGCAAGCTTAAAAATACCGGTTTCGTCATTGTCTTGTTCTCGCAACGCAACTGGTAAAAACATCCAAGTCCAAAGCGATCTGCTATAAGATGCCCTTTACACAGTGTCACAGCGGGTGTCGTCTATAGCAAGTCCTTCAAAAACCTCATTGTGTCGATATGTCTTCAGTGCATGTATAAGCAGAAGGCTCAAGCCAACTGCTTCTAAATGGACCTTGCTCAAAGACATTTAAATCACCCTTTCTACTGAGATTAAATATCCAGACATAATCTTAGATAGCAAAGTCGTTTGAAACTGAAACACTGTTTAAAACAGTAAGACCGCACTCTACGTCTGCTGGGCAACGATTGCCAAAAAATGAAGACTAAGAACACACATAGTATCCTAGTCAACATCTAGTGACCAGCTTTAGACAAGGCAGAAAAAAGTGAGTTCACCGAATGACTTCACACTCATTACAGCTAGGTTTACCTCAACCTCTACAAAAGCCTTTGAAATTTTGCTTTAACTTCGGCTGCACCAGTTCCGTCTTCTGCATTTACAACGTCTCTCACCGACGGCTTATACTAGATGACAATGTAAGTTCTGGATTTCACACTGAACCTCTTGATACTAAATAAAGTAAGGCACTCCACGACCACTGCACTGTTTCTCAAGCGGAACTATACGGAAGCCGCTTCAGGCCTATTTGAATGTAATAGGAAAACCCAACCATTTACTAATAATTCTGACAGTCAGTCTCGGTGCTCGTCATGAGCATACCTTTTTCCACAGCAAATAATCTGTTAAGGCTTCCTCAGATGCCCAATAGAAGATAGTATAGTTAAACCATATGTAATGTGACTACGATTTCACTCCTTCTAAATAGGCCCACCATAAATATTAACTGTAGTAAAAAGTAATCCATTATTTTGAGTAGAATTGAAGACTTTTATTTCTTGCTCTTCGTATCCAGTCTTATCCAAGTGATTCCAATCGGTTTTTTTGTAGCAAGCTTTAGCTCTTGGGCAATCGAAAAATAGTTTGCATGACGGTCGGACTCGACAAAATTCATGATTTTGGCGACATTTTCGAGAATTGGCTTTCCATTCCGTGAAGCATCTTTTACATACACTATTCAAGTCTTCAGCTGCCTATCTTGCCCTTTCGCCTTTTGTCGAAGAAAAGTTGTCAAATATAGCGTATTTATTCCTTACTAGTCTAGTGTCCATTTTTGACAAAAACGAATCAACCAATCACAAAGCTGTGCGAAAAGTTTTTCTAGTACGAAATGTCATCTTTTTAAAGCCATCTAGAGGAACACGTTCGGACTTATACAACGCGAGATATAGATAAATAACGGCATCTTTTGAAAAATAGTGGATTACTTCTTACTACACCAATATAACAACCGGCGTAATAACCAAATGCTGTCTTATAAGATTCAGGGTAGAGGAATGAACTGCTTCTCAAACGACTTCTGCCACAACACCAGCGACATAGATGAGAAGAAATCGGTGCTATCCAGCGCTGATTGCGGTCCGATATCGTTTTATCGCAAATTTCTACTTCGATTACCTTACAGAGCTTGCATCGGTAGTCGTCGTTAATCTTCCGAAATTATAAAAAAAATTCCACCATATGGTTTAAACACGTGGAAATGAGAGAGGAATCTCTTTCAGAGAACGAACATACGAAGGGCAACGGGTTAGTAGACCAGTAGGCCTGATCGAGCCACCTGTTCAACTACTTAACTAAAAGTTAGTAAAAAAATTAATTCGATTTTACAATATGCATATCAATGGCTAAATACAGGTTATGTAAATATTATAGATTATTTTTTAATAAGTTTTTTGTAATTTCGACAGACACTATTGGCGCAAAGTTGCCACAATTCCTTCTATTAGATTTAACTGAAATCATGAAGTTTAAGTACTGTATTGACTTTAGTTTTACGATTTTTTAAATATTTCAAGAGGCTCAACACCTTTTCCACTCTTAAAGTATCTTCCTTGGCATACTAAATTCTCCACCAAATTTCGCCGATTTATTTCGGAACATTGCTATTCGGACTCAAAACATATTTGAATAATGACATGAATGTTTATTAGTCGTATATTGTAGATTTTATGGCACATCCTGTTGCTTATGATTTGGTAGGCTGCAAAAAAAGGTATTTTTTATGAACTCTGCTTTTGGCTGCTTTCGCTAGAGATCAGTGCTTTGGGTACTACTCCCTCATAGAATTTTTAAGCATTCTCGCTATCAAACCCTTCATACTCAAGAATTAAATTGCTTTTTCTAACTAGTAAATTACTGTACAAAGTCTGAAAAGCTTAAGCCTTTAAAATAGTGCTAGTTTTAGTTGTATGGAGAGTTGGCGGACTAGTTCAATTTGCTTTACATACTATTGGGTTGTCCAAAAAGTAATTGCGGATTTTTTAATAAAACTTAGAATGAACCTTAATCAAATATATAATTACCATTTTGTTCGCTAACCTTTTGCCATCTTCCTGGCAAATTTCGTATTCCACGCTCATAGAACTTCTGGCCTTTATCTGCAAAAAACTGAACCAAGTGCGATTTTATAGCCTAATCATTGCCGAAAGTTTTACCATTTAAGGAGTCCTGCAAAGATCAAAATAAATGGTAGTCTGATGGTGCAAGGTCAGGGCTATATGGTGGATGCATCAAAAGTTCCCAGCCAAGCTCACTCAGTTTTTGGCGAGTG